TGAGGTCCCTGTTAATCAACCTCTTAAAATTTATTTTTATTTTAAGTATATGAGCATTCTACCCTCATATATGTATGTACACTGTATTTATTCCTGATGTCCATGGAGGTCAGAAAATGTAGACTTCCCTGGAAATTGAATTAAAGACAACTATAAGTCACCATGTAGGTGCAGAGAACTGAACCTGGGTCTTCTACAAGGAAAGCAAGCGCTCTTAATTGCTAAGCTGTCTCTTTAGTCCTCAATCATTTTAACTCTTCTGTACACAGCCCTATCTGGCCTAGTGAACTGGTTATCAGTCACTACCTCTCATTCTCCTTTACCTCAGTAATGGCCCTCCTTCCTCTGTTGTCTTCTAGTCCCTGGTATTCGTGCAGCCTTCAGCAGGCAATAAACAGTGCTTTTAATGTCTCAAATTCTGATTCCCCTCATATTGCCCCAGGTTATGTATGCATCCTTTGTTTCGAGGAGGAATGAGTAGTTGTATTACTTAGCTTCTCCATTTCCAGGGCACCCTTGGACCCATCCTATCTATTCCTGTGCCCTATATCACTACAAACTTGCCTAGATGAGGCTGTTTTATTTCTTGTTTAAAGTAGTCCTCAGTTCAAGCAGGTAAGTTGTTGAGTGCTTCTCAATTATCACAGTTTCCTGTACTGAACCATTTTTAAAGTCTCTGTCTACATGTTGAGTCATGGATTTCCTATCTTTTCTGTTAATGGGGTACTTTTACCACCTTCCTTTGCTCCTCACTGCCCAGGTTGAGGATCCAAGAAATGGTATTGAGCACATCCCTTATATCCTGCCAGCTGTAGGTAAAGACCAGCCAACTGTCTTATCGTCCGCCCCCCCGCCCCTTTGTACAGTTACTCTTCTCAGAAGCTGATGCAGGGGATCTACGTGTCCATTTCTTATTATAACTCTCCATATACAGGAATCTTTATTACCCACAGAAAAGGCCACTCCACAGTCACCATAGGCTGTTTAAAATTCTATCCCAAATGTCCTACTTTTGGGAATTGCAATCCTTCTGCCATTTGAGGGATATATCCATATCCATGAAGAAGGCCCCCTCTATCAAAAAGGCATGCTGGCCACACCATGTAGAGGAAGAGAACTGCCCTGCAATTCCCCTGCAAGGGACTCAGATTTAATTGCATGTCTCAGTGCCCATTAATAGGTATGCTGTAGCTCAATAATAGGTTTGTTTCTCCACTAACATAGTAAGCCAGATCAAGTCAAATTGAAAAGGAAAAAGAACAGTTTATTTGAGCAAAGCAACTCCCAGATGAATTCTCCAGCCCCAGAGATATAGGCCAGAGAAGTCACACACCCAAACTAAAGCAGGGAGGTTATATAGCCTTTAGGTAAGGAATGATGACATGTCCGCCACAAGCTAGGTTCATACCCAAGAAAAACTGAACATTTTGGGCTGGGACTTGGGCTGCTGGCACCTTTAGGAATGGAACTGCCACAGCTGCCAAGAATGCAAAACTGGGCTTTTGGCACCTTTTCTTTGTTGGAGATTCTCTGAGAGGGTGGGGCAGTTAGGGGGAGAGAGAGAGAGGAGAGAGAGAGTAGAGAGAGAGAGAGAGAGAGAGAGAGAGAGAGAGAGAGAGAGAGAGAGAGAGAGAGAGAGAGAGAGAGAGAGAGAGAGATGGAGCTTCTCAGACCATGAAGGAGATGCAGGAGCTGGAGATTTTAACTGAACACCCATGGCAGGTAATGTGCAACTGCACTATGACAAAGAGACACAACATCCAATTGCAGATGGGGAAAGGTAGCCATGTCACAATGGCCCTTTTCAACATTCACTGCCATATGAATCAGTCTTGGTAGCATGTTTCAGTACCAATTTATTAGTTCTTCTGGAGAGGCGTGAATAAATGTCTCCCTACTCCAAATAGAGCACTGACATCAGCCTAGAGGAACAATTCCACATAATTGTTTGAGTGAACAGTGAATGAGTGAGTGAGTGAGTGAATGAATGAATGATTAACAGTTCTGTTAGTTAATTGAACTTACTTTTAGAAATATGAGCAGGGGGTTACCTGAGTGATTCAAAGACAGATACATCTAAAACCACAACCTAGAGCATGGGTCCAAATTCATGAAAGTTATATCCCAAGAGCTTACTGTGTCAGATGTAGACAGTTGGCTGATAGGACAGTTTCTTCCCAGAAATTGTTACTGCTTATGTAACCTTCTTGAGGAGCCTTGAGAGTCATATAATTCCCAGGGACTTCTTGAGCCATGTAAGATTTGGTTACTTCCTGAGTCTTATAAGCCTCCCTCCAGGAAAGAAAAACTATTAATTATCTGTCTGTGTATCATTTAAAACATTTTACTTTTTAAAAAAATTATATATATATATATATGAGTGTTTGCCTTCATGTGCATTCCTAGTAGCTGTGGAGTTCAGAAGTGGACCACAATACCTTGCAACTGGAGTTTCAGATGATTGTAAACCACCATGTGGTTGTTGTGAATCAAACCCAAATCCTCTACAGGAGCTACAAGTGCTCTTAACCTCTAAGCTGTCTGTCCTGCCCTCAGACTTTTTGTCTTTATCATTCTTTACCTGACGTCTAGATTAGATTTGCCGATGAATTAAATTATTAATAGTTAAAGAGGAAGCAAACAGCTCAGTATTCCTTAATATCAGTACAGTAAAATAAATGAAATGAAATGACTGTACTTTTAAGAGTCTAAATATTAGCTGGGTATGATAATGCCTATAATCTTAGTACAAGGCAAAAACAGGAGGATTGCCTATGACTTTGTAGCAAGCATGGTCTATTTTGCAAGTTCCAGGCCCTCTACAGTTATAGAGTGACATTGTCTTAAAAACAAGTTAAAAGCACCAAAAATGTTAAAATTACTTGTAAGATTTTATGATGAAGAGGATGAAGTCATTTGTATTTTCATGCTGCAGAAATATGATAAGTAGCATGAGTGTGTGCTGTTTTTTCCAGTACTTACACTCCTGTGGATGATTATGTTAAATACTTAACAACTCGACCAGTGGCAGGTCCTGCTGCACTCCAGTTCCCGCTGCAGATCCTAATAGATGCACTACTGTTAGGTCTTCATGTTTCAATCATCCTGAGGCGCATCCAAGGGTACCATTATGACTAGAGACTGGATCTTTGTAGAACTGAGTTAAAAGGAGGTATTTTGGACAGTTCTCAAATTTTTCCTTTCAGATAAATTTTATTGTGTTTAAGTCATTCATGCTATTATGAGATTATACAGTTATTAAAATAAATTAAATGAACACAACTATGACTTCACATAGCTACACATACTTTCGTTCGATTTTATGGCAAGAGGGAATAGCATCTTAGGATTTGCTGTGCAGTACAGATGTATGGGGGTTTTGTTGTTAGATATCTGAATAAATCTACTCACTTAATCAGGATAGTGTGTTTATGACATCACATGAGAACAGAAGATGAGATCATAAATTGAGAGTGATACATGCAGAAATTGAGTTGTTTATTGGTTATACAAATGTTAGACAGATGGGTATACAGAGATTGAGGCTCAGTAGAGATGGGAGGTAAGATAAGCATGTGGTTATCATCTTCTTGTTAAAATTAGAAGTTATAATCTTTTATTTTGCCATGGAAAGCCACATGCCCTAGAGTCATACTTACTACTATAAGTATCCCAGGTGCACTGACTATTGCCAGAAGTTTATTTCTCTTACAGTAGCTGGTAGAGCTGGATAGTTTATTTGAGATACCTGTTCCTGCTTTGTCTAACACTGCTGTTTCTGTTTTCTTTCACTTATGGATGTTTGCAACCATTTTATGGTGCCATTCGAACCACTGGAATTTAAGCTACAGTTGGTTCAAATTTTTTTTGATGACTGATTGCCTGTCACTCTAAGGCTGTGATATAAACAGTTGCGAACAAACTGCCACTCTGCTAGGTCTGTCACCCCATGGTAGTTCCATTATGGGCAGACCTGGCGTAAGTTAGGTTAGTCTTGAAACTCATCTCACGAAGCACTGAAGAGGTGGGGGAGTTGAAGGGAAAGCGGGAAGTGAAACAAGGCCTCTTCTGGGAAAATGGTGAGGTTGAACAAAGAGTTCGTGGCTGCCCTGGTGAGGTAATGGGAATAATTCATGGAATGCTCAGGTCGAATTCAAAAGAAAAGAGGACATTTACAGCCCCGACCTGAGGCAAGGAAAGAGAAGATTTATACTTTCTGAGGACATTTTCTTTTTCACTTCATTTTGCTGATCTTGGAATGTAGCATCTTGTCATGTTTGTCATGTTTGTCTATTGTTCAATGAAAGAATAAAGAACTGGTGATTTGGACCTAACTTATTATTGTAAATAATTATGCTTTGATGAATACAGCCTTGAATTCTTTTTATGTATTAGATTTTGTCTTATTTTGTCATTTTTAAATAGAAGTTTTGTTCTTTGGAGGGTATATGTGTGATCTTGCTTGCCTTGAAAAACATCTTTCCTATTTTCTAAATTACAGCCTTAATTTAGAGCTACTTGATTATATAGAAAAGTGTGGATCAGTTGTTTTGCAGTTTAAATACCAATGATTCTGTTTAACATGAACCAGCTTTATGAGATTATTCTGAAATGCATAGATGTGGGCCACATTTATTTATATGAAACCTTTATAAGCAAAGTTACTTAAAAAGCAAGTTTAAAAACCTCCATAATGAAGAGCATGTCACGGAACAGACTGATAATAAAATATTTTTATAAGATCTTAAAGTTAACGCATTTAATTCAATTCATGTATTAGAAGGTCATGCAGCAAACCTGTGGACTACTTGTTTGTTTCTGAGAGTTGGTCAGGTTGGGTTGGAGGGAGCGCCCCGTGTGTGCCTCCTGTACTATGATACTTCTGCCTTCCCAGCTATGCCTGTACCACCTTTGTGCCACTGAGCCCGAGAGGAGCAGTGGCACTGAGGATGCTCTGCTGCTCTACCTATCTCTGACATGGCGACTTCCTTTTTTTGTAGGTGAGCGTCCCTATCAATGCCCTTACTGTGAAAAAGGATTCAGTAAAAATGACGGACTGAAGATGCACATTCGTACTCACACCAGGGTAAGATCACATTCTGTCTCATTTCTTTGGTCATAAAAGTCATGCCTTTTCTAGAAGAAGCATATTTACCATTATACGAGAACATTTAAATGCTGCAGCTGAAGTTATATCAAAGTCTAGGGTAGACATTTGAAGATAAACTTTTAAAGAAAAATCCATGAAAAACAACCCAAATCCCCAAAGTGTCCTTACTTTAGACTTTGAATCAATTCACAGGGTTTATTAATGACAAATTGCTATGTAAATGTTAATATTTTAATTCCTGAAAATATAGTTTTGTCTTCCAGAATAATCACTTCTAAAGAATATGCTTGATAGTGGCAAGTGTGTCAGCATTTCACCACTGGCATATTGACAAGCAAGTGTTTTCACAGGAAAGACATTGAAAATAATTTAAATAGTAGGGAAGTTTGCAAAGCATGGAAATGTAGCTGAATTCATTAGAGGGTATACCACAAGCATTGTGTCATTTTCTTTCCAAGCTGTTAGCACCTCTCCATGAATTGGTGTTCTCTTGTGTATACCTTTCCCAGATGCAAGCTTCTGTCTCATGTGCTTAAAATTACAGGTGCTGCCTGTCCTATGTACAGATGTGTCGTTCTGCTCATGGTCCAGCTTAGGCAGAAATACCTATTATCCTAGTACTCTGGAGGTGGTGGCAGGAGAATAAGAACTTCAAGGCCATTCTTAGCTGCATTGGGACCTAAAGGCTAGCTTGCACTAGAGATCTTGTCTAACAGAAAGAAAGAGACAGAGAGAGAGAGACAGAGAGAGAGAGAGAGCCCACAAGCAGGTATTATAATTTATTGCAGTATAATTTAAATACATAAGAAACTTATTTTCACAATGAGTATTAATAAAGAAGCTCAAGTTAATTTTAAACCAGTTTATGAAGTTATTTTAGGAGCTGGGCAGTGGTGATGCACACCTTTAATCCCAGCACTCAGGAGGCAGAGGCAGGCAGATCTCTGTGAGTTCGAGGCCAGCCTGGTCTACAAAGTGACATCCAGGACAGGCTCCAAAGCAGTACAGAGAAACCCTGACTGGAAAAACAAACAAACAAAAAAGAAAAGAAGTTATTTTAGGACTGGTGAGAAGGCTCAACAGATATAGGCAGATGGTGAGGACACAAATGAATTGAGTTGGATTCCTAGGACCAGTGTGTTGAAAAGTGACCATTTGTAATAGCAAATGGTTAGCAACCATTTTTGAAAGCTATTGCTTACAGTGTGAATTATGTCCAGAGGTCCAGAGGATGGATTGGTGGATTATTTTGTCAACCCGACACAAACTTAGACATACTTGGTAAGCGGGAATTTCAGTTGAGAAATCGTGTCCATTAGATTGGCCTGTGGCTATGGCTGTGCGGTGATTTCTTGGTCGCTAATTAATATAGGAGGACTGGTCCTGCTGTAGACGTTGCTATCACAAGGCAGGTGGACTTGGGCTATGAGAAAGACACCTGAGCAAGCCAGGTAGAGCCACTTCCAGATTTTGGATTCAGTTCTTGCTTCCAGATTCCTGCCTTGAGATCTTGCTCTGGTTTCCCTTGATGTCCTGTAAAGTATAAGATGAAATAAAGCCTTTCTTCCTCCCAACCCCAACCCTCCATAAAGGACTCCTGTGAACACAGAGAGAGAGAGAGAGAGAGAGAGAGAGAGAGAGAGAGAGAGAGAGAGAGAGAGAGAGAGAGAGAGAGAGAGAGAGAGAGAGAGAGAGAGAGAGAGAGAGAGAGAGACCATAAAATGAAAAGAATGTATTTATATTAAAGATGCCACTATCTAGGCAAAAAGCAAGCTAGTTCTTTGCATTAGAAAGTAACAGTGTTCACCATAGTGCATGTTACATTGTTTCACTGATTATTGGAGACAGAATCATCAGACTGGAACAAATTCTATAAATTGCTGCAAGGGAACAACAATGAAAACTAAAAACATACTTTTTTGGTTGCTCTAGAGAAAATAATTTCCAACTCAGTAAACTTGTTCTTTACCTTAATGTAACTTATTACTGAAAATAATACTAGGGGTTCAATATAAATAAATACAAATTGAACCAACCATTCCAAGTCACACAACTTTGGGATGATTTCAAGCCTTCAGATTTATTAACTTGTAACTTTGTCAGGCTTCCTAGAAGCTGAGAGAGCCACGACCCTTTCTGAAACAGTGAGAAAGCAAGGCACAGACAGGCAGCAGTGTGAGGCTTCTGTAGAAACTTCTCCCTCACCTGCTGTGTGCCTTCTTGTCTGTTGCTCACATAAACAGTATGAGAGTTAGTGAGACCTGGTCTCACAGGTTTCAGTCTGTGGTCAGTTGAGTCTGCTGCTTTAAGCTCCAGGCAAAGCTGCAACATCACAGTGGAAGATCATGGCAAAACAAAGGCTGTTCCTGTCATGGCAACCAGAGAGAGGCAGAAGAGGATCTGGGGTCTCATCTACATGAGTGTGCCTTATATCACCTACCATGGCTTGTTTAACTATGAACTCACCCATAGGTTCTCCGACTAGTGAAGTTAATGCCCATATAACTAGTCATCTATCACCACTGCCAAGTGGGAACCATTCCTTTAACACATGAACATTTGGAGCTCCTGTCCAAACTGTAACACCTACTACATTTTCTCTTGGCTTTATTCAATTAAGTATTTTCGCATTTTATTGACTTTGATAAGCATTCCTATGTATTTCCAAACAAAACAAATAATAAAGACTCTAAATTTTAGTCTCATTTTTTTGAAGTTTAAAATAAGCATACTGGCCGGGCGGTGGTGGTGCACGCCTTTAATCCCAGCACTCGGGAGGCAGAGGCAGGCGGATCTCTGTGAGTTCGAGGCCGGGCTGGACCGACAGCCTCCAAAACAATACAGAGAAACCCTGTCTCGTAAAACCAAAAAAAGAAAAAAAAATAAGCATACTGACAGAGTGTACAGTGTTGGCAGATACCACAAGAGTTCTCAAATACTACCTGCACAAAAAGTGGATCCTAGCCACTGACCAGAAACACCCAGGAGTTTAGGGAGGATCTCAGGTAAGCTTTTCCTGTCAGATACTTTGATTTCTCATTTCATGCACATGCTGTCTCAGACAACTTTCTTTTGAAATACCATTTCCTAAGTACTGAATAGCTACAAATACTGTTTGCACACAAATTGTAAAGCATGCTAGGATTATCACCAAGTACAGTCACATCATTGTCAAGAACCAAAAGATATTTTGTAAAGCTCCACAAGCGTGTTTCCTGAGAGTTATTAGCACTATGTAGGCTCAACTCAAAGAAGATGCTGGTACACTGGTGCCATAGAACGTTTTAGTTTCAATTTTATATATTTATCATCCTGATAGTTTAATTTCCAGGATCCCACTACCACCACGTTGGTAGCTTTTCACGCCATTACAACAATAAAAAATCCACCTTTTTCATTAAATTCTTGACATGTTATATGGTGTGTGTGTGTATGTTTATATATTTAAAAATATTGCTGTTTCTAGCAAGGCATCAAGGCATCACAATAATGAATCGTGTAGGTGCAGTATCAGCATTACCATGATGTTGAAGGGAAAATCAGAGTTTATATCAGATGACCAAAGTTTTTACGGCATCAGGAATGAATGGTGGATACTGAGCATTGGAAAAGCCAAGAATCCTAGTCCCTGCAGGACTGTGAGTAGCTTTGACAGCAGAAAGACATCTTTTAAGGATAATAAGCAGCTTGGAATCCTTATGAACATATGTGGTAAGCATCAAAAGCTTAAAAGACAAACAAACGCAGTCTTCTTGAGTGAAATAGGGAAAGAAGGAGTTCATTTGGAAGGAAGCTCTCACAGAGGGAATGGTTGAAAACCATGGAGAATGGGCTAGGCAGACATGACTGTGTGAGCAAAGTGAGAGTTCCCTACAGGTTTGGCTAGAGTGGCCTGTTCACTGTGACCAGAGGCTGAGGATGAATGCTAAACTGTGACTTAAATTGAGACAGGTTGAATTGAAGTAGTTGGTCGTGCTTATAGTTTCACTTTGAGTGGAGGAGTGTCATGGTCATGTTTACTCCAGTAAGGTTTTAACTCTCAGGAAGATAGTGAAGTCATGCTTTGATATGGACTGAAGATAGCAGCCTGGAGGCCATGAACTAAGAGAGTGACCTCTACTTGGTAGCTATGGGATTTGAAAGTAGGGGACAGATGTGGGGCTCCTTTGAGATAAGCATCAACATGGTTGTTCATACATTATATGTACATGATGGTGAAGAGGAAGAGTCACAAGAGAACCTGAGATCCTAGAAGAGATATTTTGAGAGGTTGTGGTGTTCTACATAGACACAAGGTAGCTTAGCTAGTAGGTTTAAAGAAAAGGAAGAGGAGAGATTAGATAGGATGACAGTGAGGTTCACCATTGCATAGATTAAGGAATTCAGACTTTGCACTGAGATATGCCTGTTTTTATATGTAGACAAGATAAAAGATGCAAATTTAACAACTTAAACATTCATCTTGGTTTTAGAGAAATTTCTTTTTTTTTTTTTAACTTTTAGGCTTCCTTATCTCCAGTGCTATAAAGAAAGTAGGATGTGACTTTTTGCTACTATTTGAAACCACATTTCATTTGAGAGAGAAAGTATAGTTTCTAGGACCCATATTTTTCACAGATAATTTTATATTCCTTGCTATTAAAAAATAAGTGACTTTACAACACTGTTGTGTTTTCTCTGACTCAGAATCTGTACGTACATGAAACTGAGCTATGTTTCCCTTATAAAGGGTAAAAAACAGACCATTTGAAAAACAACTTCCAGTTTCATCCCCCATCCCCAGTTCACTTTTGTGAAAAGCCTTTTTGATGGTCTTCAGCTTATTTGGTAGATTCCACCATGCACACTTTCTGTGTAACTTGCGTACCTGATCTACTTAACTCTTTAAAATCACAGAAAAGACAATTTCAAGTTTTCCAGTTTAGAATATGATGTTCCTAAAGTTAAGATTCCAGTCTGGGCATTCTAGATGTCCA